TGTGTGTGTGTGTGTGTGTGTGTGTGTGTGTGTGTGTGTGTGTGTGTATCAGAGAGAGAGAGAGAGAGAGAGGTGCTGGAGAGCAGTTTAGGCTAATTATCTCTTTTTCTTTTTTTCCAGCACTTTCTGTGCTATGGCTATAGGGGCAACAGGGACCTGTTCCCTTCCACTGTGACCTTCCCAAGGGCTCTCCCCAAACTCTGCTTTGATTTCTGGTGTCCTCAGATGACCGTATAAAGCAGAAGGAAGGTTTCCTCTGCGTTCACAATGTTCGTAATGAAAACAACCACAGCTGCTTGTAGACCCATGTGTTGGCTTGCTATTGATGTTTTCTGCTGTTGATGTATTCAGAAGTGAAAATATGTGGGTGCCTGGGTGGCTCAGTGGGTTGGTTGAACATTTGACTTCAAATGTTCTCCCGGTTTGTGGGTTTGAGCCCTGTGTTGGGCTCTGTGCTGACAGCTCAGAGCCTGGAGCCTGCTTTGGATTCTGTGTTTCCATCTCTCTCTGTTCCTCTCCCTCTCGCACTGTCTCTCTGTCTCTCTCTCAAAAATAAATAAACATTAAAAAAACAAAAAATAAATATAAATTTTTAAAAAAGTGAGAATATGGCCTCTCTGAGATGCTCTCATGCCAGCAGGAAACAGAGCCACCACGTCTTGTGAGCCCAGAAGATCCTGGAGGCAGTTTTCATTTTAGAATGACCTTTGTCAGAGGAAAAAGTGCTTGAAGCATTTTCGAATGTACTAGAATGTCTCCAAAGGTGGAATTTGTTTTGTTTTATCCCCCTTTCTGTTGAGACTCACCGGAGGGATGTCCTCCAATCATCTTTGTGTCACAGAAAGAAACGAGTCATCCTAAAAAGGTAGGTGGCAGGCCCTCTAGAATAATTCAAGGTATACTTCCCTGGGAGGAGGGCAAATAACTATTGTCAGGTGTCTTGTGCTATGAGGACTTCTGAGACTTCTGGGTTGTATGGATCCTGTGGGAAGGTCAGCGAACTGTGGAATAGCAAGTGCCAGACTAAGCACTTGTCTAGGAGCAGGCTTAGTCCTTGGTGTAGGAACTGAAAGAGTTGCGCTCTAAGGGAGACCAAGACACATCTCTGAAAACATTAGGTAGGGGGGAGGATTGGCAGCTGCGCGTTGGTTAGGCATCTGTGTGATCTGACAGTACCATCTTGTGGTAGTGAGGAGCAATCACAGATGTGGACTGAGCAAACTACTCCCTAGAGAATGGAGGGGCCTCCCTTTGCCCTTTTGAGCAGTGTGAATACCCAAGGTGGATTCTAGGACAGTTCAGGAGGAGCCCCATCTGCAAAGAGGAAATAACAGAATTTCCTGCTAATCTGGTATTGAGGACTGAGCATTTATAAGCAAACAAGTAAGATGTGACCATATTTGTATTCCGAGTTTAATGAGGAGGTGGTGCTATTAAAACCAGATAAATACACTTAACAGAAACAATAAACATCACCTCTAGGGGTTCTCAGATTTCCATGTTCATTTCACCCCTTGCTATGAAGAAATGCAAGAATTGAATTAGGCATTCTAGGCAAAGAGGCAGCTAAGCCAGTTATATGCTTCCTCTTGTCCCCAGTTCGGATGAAAATGAATATCGAGGGCTTCATTAAAGCTAATATAAGCAGCTTGAACTCTCTCCTAGGGGAGTAGTTACCTTTGGTTTTATTTAATGACTTTTCTTTCTGCTAACAGCATCCCCTTTCCTTTGGGAAACAAATTCTTCCTAATAAATAGTTTTTTTTTTTTTTTTTATTGTAGTGAAATGTAAGAGTTGCCATCTTAACCATTGCAAACACACAATTTAGGGGCATTAATTATATTCACAATGTTGTGTAACCACCACCATTATATATTTCCAAAAGTTTTTAATCACCCCAAACAGAAACTCAATAAGCACTAAGCAATAACTCCCTACTCTCCCCTCTGCCCAGGTGCTGGTAACCTACTTACTTTCTGCCTCCATGAATTTGCCTGTTCTAGATATTTTGTACAAGTGGAGTCATATAATATGTGGCCCTTTGTGTCTGGCTTATTGCATTTAGCATAGTGCTTTTGATGCAGGCAAGCTGGGTCTGAGGACACATAGGAGGGTCCCACAGGACCAGCCAAGAGGTTCTTGGCTTTCCACAGGATAGAAACCAAATATGAGTCAGAGAAAGTAAAAGCAGAATTTATTTAATAGTGATAGATTATGACAGAAGGAATGTCTGGGAAACTGGTAAAGGAAAGGAGAATGAGTCTTGTTGTTGCTTGGAGTTAGGGGTTTATACTGGAAAGGGGTCCAGAGTACGGTCTGATCAAAGAGGAATGACAGGTGAGTAATAAGTGTTATTTCAAAAATCATCAAAGGTAGGGACTATTGATGGCTGGGATTTGTTTGAATCTAATGTCCTGAATCATGTTTGGGACATGGTTCTTCTTAGATGTTATCAGATATTTGGGGGCCTAGGCAAAACTCAGAGAATGATTAACTGTTTTTGCTTCCCCCTTGGAGTGGGAACGTAGCTTCTTTGGTTCACTTAGATGCAAAATATAGAACATGAGTAAGTGGGGCCTAACAGAAAAACAGCAGAGAGGGAGCCTTTCTAAAACTGGAGTCCCCTCATTTTCCCTATCTTATCTTCAAGGTTCACCCATATCATAGTACATATCAGAACTTCGTTACTTTTTTTTTTTTTTTTAATGATATTCCTGCCCTTGACTACTGTGATGAGAAGGGGCATTTGAAGGGTGCTACGTGGATGGAACGTGCATGTGGCTTGATGAACTGTGATCCATGGACACTGGCAGGCACTAAGGCAGTACTTGAGGCAGAAATGAGTCACAGGATGAGTCACCAAGCAAGAGGCCAGCTGAGGCCAAAGCTTCATGATAGGCGTGGGCTCCCGATGCCCTCTCTGCAAGGTCTCAGCTCCAGCCAGAACTTCATTACTTTTTATGACTGAATAATATTGCATTTTGAAATTTTTTTTTAACGTTTATTTATTTTTGAGACAGGGAGAGACAGAGCATGAACAGGGGAAGGTCAGAGAGAGAGGGAGACACAGAATATAAAGCAGGCTCCAGGCTCTGAGCTGTCAGCACAGAGCCCGACGCGGGGCTAGAACTCACGGACCGCGAGATCATGACCTGAGCCGAAGTCGGCCGCCTAACTGACTGAGCCACCCAGGCGCCCCATAATATTGCATCTTGCATATGTAACACATTTTGTTTACCTATCCATCTGTTGGATACTTGGGTTGTTTGGCTGTTGTGAATAATCTTGCTAAAAATTTTGGTGTACAAGTATCTGAGTCCCTGTTTTCAATTCTTTTGGATATACACCTAGGAGTGAAATTGCTGGCTCTTACAGTAATTCTGTTTAGCTTTGTAAGGAACTGGTAAACTGTTTTCCACAGTGACTGTACTGGTTCACATTCTCACCAGCCATGTACAAGGGTTCTGATTTTTCCACATTCGCACTGCATTTGTTATGTCCCTTTGAAAAATTATGATTATAATAACCATCTGCTAACCTTAAAAATAAAAGTCAGTTATTTTACCAGCAAAAATGGGTTTATTTAGGAATAGCAGAGAATTGTAATTTGGGACATGGAAGTGATGGCAAAACCATAGGCAAGTCCAGCAAATGAAGGAGGGGAATGTTAGTTTATGAAGAGGAAGGAGAAAATTGGGAGGGATTATTATTATTTTTTTGGGGGGGAGAGATTATTTTGAATGAAAGCCACTGCAGAAGAACAAGAGTTCAGGGTGATGATGATTTCTCATTGGCTGAATTTGCAGGGGTGGTCAATTTCTTGTAGGAGATGCAATCTATGTCTTTCCCCTTTGGGAGCTTGTAATTGATGATTATTCTTTTGGGGTCTGTATTTGATAATTCTGCCTGTAATTGGCATTGAGTGGTATTGTTAGGGGACCCCAAGACCAGGTTCTGAGTCTCAATGTCATAGAAATGAACATTGAACTCAGGAGAAAGAAAGCAAGTGGAGTTTATTAGAGAAAGCTTGTATACCAGGGACCTGACAAGAAGAATGTTTCTCCCCTAAGAGGCAGGTGTGCATAGCTTAAAAAGGCACTTTTGCAAAGGGTGAGGGGCTAGGAGTGGGACAATGTCCTTCAGTCATGGGATCATTATTTTGTGGTCA